AGGTAAACAAAGTGACAGTGGTTTATCTTTCTCCCTCCCTGTTTCCTTGTTCCTCCCTTCCTTCCTCCCTCTCTCTCTCCCTGTCTTTCTGATTCCACCCCTTTTCCTCTATTCTCTATAATTCTCTTTACTGCCTCCTCCACCCTCCTCCATGTCCAACCTTCCCTACCTCCCCCCTCCCACCTCCCTCTCTTCCACCCATCCCCACCCACACCTCCCCACCCACCCTTCTCACTTGATTAAAAAAAAAAAGTTTTCCCTTGTGTTTGACGCTTTGTTCAACATCTACAATTTATCACCACCAAAAAAACAAAAGTAATAAAAGTTTATATAGTTTTTGTATTTATATTATTTATTCTCTGGTTAAAAACAAACACGTCCCCTCTAAAAGAAAATTTACAGATGGGTGTTTTTTTTGGTGTTTTAGTTTAATTATTTTGTTACGTAAAATACACTTCTTGAACGAGATGAACAATTTGATGAACACACGGTTTTTGTTCCTTTATTGTTATTTTTTTCATTTATTCACTTTTTCATTCATTAACTCGTGTATTTATTTGTTTACCACCTATCTATCTATCTATCTGTCTGTCTGTCTGTCTGTCTGTCTGTCTGTCTGTCTGTCTGTCTGTCTGTCTGTCTGTCTGTCTGTCTGTCTGTCTGTTTATCTGTCTGTCGTGTCTTCATTCATTTGTATTTTAGGGTCGGCCAATATCGAAGTAGTAAATCTCTCTCTCTCTCTCTCTCTCTCTCTCTCTCTCTCTCTCCTCCTAGCCCCCTGTCTCTCTCCATCCTCCCTCTCTCTCTCTTCCCCTTATCACAATCCTCAGTAGTTCCCAGATTTATCGCCTTTTGATCTCCCCCCCTCCTTCGTGAACACAGAGACAACAATAAAAACCTGAATGCAAACGAAACTCTGAAAAATATCGATTCTCGTTACGTCAAATATTGCAAAAAGAAAATTGGAAAATTGCATAATTGAATTCCAGAAAAGGGAGGGGGGTGAGGTGATAGAAAGAGAGAAAGACAAGGACGAAGAGAGAGAGCGAGAGAGAATAGTGTGAGAGAGAGAGAGAGAGAGAGAGAGAGAGAGAGAGAGAGAGAGAGAGAGAGAGAGAGAGAGAGAGAGAGAGAGAGAAGAGTGTGTGTGTGTGTTTGTGAGAGAGAGAGGAGATGAGGAGACAAAGGAGAAAGAGGTGTGGGGGGGGGAGAGAAGGTTAATGTGAGAGAATTATAAGAGAAAGATGAGATAAAGGAAGAGAGGACATGAGAAGACAATGAAGGAGAGAGAAATGAGGGGAGGAGGAGGATGAGAGTAGAGAGAGAGAGGTGAAGGTGAGGAGAGACATAGAGAGAAAAAGAGAGGGGATAGAAGATGTAAGAGAGATAGAGAGAGGGTGAAAGGGAGGTGTAAGGAGAGAGAGAGAGAGGAGGTAAGAGGAATAGGAAAGGAAACAGAGGATCAAGAGAGAGATGGAGAAGGAGGGGAGAGAGGGTGAGAGAAATGGAAAAAAGAGAGAGAAAGAGGTAGAAGAGGATGAGGGAAGGGTGAAAGGTAATAACGGTGGAATGAGAGGAAGGAGAGAGGATGTGAGGGAGGGAGCATGTAAGAGGAGATGGAGGGATAAAGAGAGGGGTGATTGGAGGGGAAAAGGGGGAGGGGAGGAGGTGAGAGGAAGAGGGGAGAGGTGAGAGGAGAGGGGAGGGGGTGAGGGAAGGGGGTAGGGGGTGAGAGGAAGGGGGGGAGGGGATGAGGAAGGTAGGGGGGGAGAGGAGGAAGGGGGTAGGGGTGAGGAGGAAGGGGAGGGATGAGAGGAAGGGGTAGGGGTGAGAGGAGGGTAGGGGGTAGAGAAGGGGTAGGGGGCGAGAGGAAGGGGGTAGGGGTAGAGGAAGGGGGTAGGGGCGGAGAGGAAGGGGGAGGGGGGTTAGAGGGTTCAGTAAAGCAGCCAGGTGAAAATATATGTACAGAGAGCTAAGTGGGTAAAACCTGAATACAGGGTATATAGGGGAGGAGGAGTTTTGTGTGTGTGTGTGTGTGTGTTTGTGTGCTTGTGTTTGTATGTGTGTTTGTTTGTTTGTGTATGTGTGTGTGTGTTTCTGTTTGTATATGTGTGGTTTGTGTGATGTGTGTATTGTGTTCGTCAATTGTTGAGTGCATGTGTTTGCGTGATCCTGCCTCTTATTGTCAGTCAAATTGTTTGTCTATTCTGTCTGTCTGTCTGTCTGTCTGTCTGTCTGTCTGTCTGTCTGTCTGTCTGTCTGTCTGTCTGTCTCCTCACTCATTATTTCTTCCTCATCACCTCCCTCCCTCACCTCACAATCCCCCCTCACCTCACAATCCTCCTCCTTCCCACTCCCGGATCTCACCTAATCATGCAATGTTACGACCGTACTACAGTTTTCCCTCATTTAAGTTTCCATTGGACGAAGAAATCATGCAACGCCGCTGCTAGACGTGTTTAAGTACCTCCCTGCACGACAATTTCCTGGATCTTTCATTAAAATCTTCAACATCGAGAAATTAAAAATACGAGTTTAATGAGCTGCCAGAGCATAAAAAAATAACACGGAAAGAGATGTCTGAGGAGGAAGTGGCAGGAATAAATACTGCCAAAGAACACGGACTCTCAATTGACTTCACAATGGCCCCCGTCAGATGAAAGATTTTCCAAGAGACAACTCGACAAATAGCTCACCTGGGATCTTACTTTACACATTTGTTGTTATTTAAGTTTTTAATTTGAATTTTTATATGTAGTATGTGTGTTTGTAATATGCGCTGTCTCCTCCCCTCTTCCATATCTGTACCTGGACTTTTCTGCGGCATCTACATGTAATCTGTTTGATCTGGGTAGCCACTCTTTCCTATTTGATCGTGATAACTTCTTTCATTTCTTTCACATTGCTTTCATTTCATTCATTGTCTTTTTTTATTTATTTTTATATTCTTTTTTTATTTATTTCATGTTTCTTCCATTTCTTTCATAATCTTTTTTTTTTTATAGTCTTTCTTTCATTTACTTCATATTCTTTTCATTTCTTTCATATTTATTCTTATATAATTATCACTTCTCCCAAATACCTTTCACATTTAATTTTCACAATATATCTTTCATATCTTATCTTTTAATGGTATTCTTTTCTATTCCTTCATTCAGGACATTTCTTTCATTTCTATTATTTCATTCTCGTTTCGTAATCATTATTTCATATTTCCTTTATTTTATATGTCATTAATAACACTTCTCTCGTATCGGTATTGAACGAGTTTATCTGCCGTTGCAGAGAGAGAGAGAGAGAGAGAGAGAGAGAGAGAGAGAGAGAGATATTCTGTTCTAGGTATTGGTTGAGAATATTGTCTCATTGCGATAATTGAGAAATACTGTCTCCCCCACACAACCACATGTGAAGAAATGTGTTTCTCTACCACTGCCGAGGGATAATCCACACACACACACACACACACACACACACACACACACACACACACACACACACACACACAACACACACACACTATAATATAATTCCTCTCTCTCTTTCTCTGCTGTTGAAAGAGATACGTCTTTTCTCAACCGTGACAAGACACCGAGATATTGTTATCAGCGAGGACAAGAGCAAGAAGACAGATGTCTGAGAGAGAGAGAGAGAGTGTGTGTGGGGGGGTGCCCTGGAGTACCGGACACTTATTATTTACCTTCTGAACTAAAGTTACCGCGAGAAGAAAAAAAAATGTGTTTAAAAATAAGTTTCAAGAGGAGAGTTGCTGGTGCTGGAAAACTTATGTGTGTGTTTGTGTTTGTGTTTGTCCAGTCCAGAGAGCCTCCTTGATGCATTCGTTTGTATGTTGTTTGGACTTTCTTTGGGGGGGGGGGTTTCATTTATCTCTTGGTCCTTGTTTATTTAAGTTTCTTGTTTATCTTCTGTTCAGTCCTTCGTTATTTAAAAATTCTCTCTCTCTCTTTCCTACCCTTCTCTGCTAATCCAGCCTTGTGTTTTTCGTATGTTTCTTTAACTTGTATAAGAAGATCTAAGATGGGATTCATTTAATTAAACGAAACATAATCAGGTTTCCTTTTTTAATAATAATAATAATAATAAACTCACTCCTCTGGGGCTAAATTATCGTACTCTTCTGGGGCTAAATTATCGTACTCTTCTGGGGCTAAATTATCGTACTCTTCTGGGGCTGAATTATCGTATTGTACGGAGCTATGTACAGTACTCTGCGGGTGTAAAAGATATTGTACTTGACCAGAATAGCACTGCGGCGACGGTGTATGGGCCTGCAGTGTAGGAGTAAATCCCTCCTTCCATTTCTCAAGTCACAGTCGGACAATTTGCAGGACAAAGCGCCTCAGTTCCGTAGTTTCTCCAAGTATTTGCTTTTAATTTCATGTCGTGAGTGAACTCTTTGCCCGGGGGATGGAAAAGGCGACCTCAAAGACCTAGTGTACTGTGTGTGTATACAGCTGGCTACGAAGGAGACTGGAAAGGGCAAAATAAGGGTGAAACGGCGCGTACTGACATTTTCGGGGAGTTTAAAGACTTAGTTGGTGTTTCGTAATGATGATGATAGTGTTGATAATAATAATGATGATGATGATGATAATAATAATAATGAAAGTACAGCCCTATAGTTAAAGGGCACATTAGGATTAGGGCCCATTATGCCTTAAGTCCATTATGAGTGGACAACTAGGACTGGAGACTATTAGAGCTGGAGCCCATTAGGACAGGCGCCTCATTACAACTGGGGCCCATTTGATCTCTCTCTATGGGGCATTTTAAGTATTAAGTATGATCTGCTCCTAGGATACAATTATCCCCGTTATTATAAATTGCCTCAGAAAAATTATGTAAAATGGAATCAAATTACTGTTTATTTATTTATTTTTCTTAATGTTTTTGTTGTTTTATTATTGGTATGAATAACAAATCTATCTATATCTGTCTGTCTGCACCCTAGCTAATCTCCAACCCTCTGCCTCATCCCCTAGGGTGCGGCGCTACCCAGACGTGGAACCAAGAACCCACCCGGACGGAGGTGAACCCCGGGGGTAACGTGGTACTGGCGTGTAAGGTGTACAACAAGCAAGGCACCTGTTCCTGGCAGAAGGATGGCAAGGTGAGTCCACACCTTTTGTTACCAGGTGCTTCAGGTGACGGGGTTAAGTGTTGTTTACTGGATTTTAGGTGCTTCAGATGCCAATTAAGGTGCTAGTTTAAGGTGCTTCTGGTGCCACGAGTATTAGGGACTGTTTAGTAAGTCTTAGTTATTTCATTTGCCTTAGATTTTAGGCACTGTTCATTAGGCTGTAGGCCAGGTGCTAGTTAAAGTGCTTCAGGTACTAGTTTACTAAGGTTAGGTGCTTCAGGTACTTACTTTACTCATGTTAGGTGCTTCAGGTACTACTTTACTCAGGTTAGGTGCTGCAGGTACCACTTTACTCATGTTAGTGCTTCAGGTACTAGTTTACAATGGTTAGGTGCTTCAGGTACTAGTTTACTAAGGTTAGGTGCTTCAGGTACTAGTTTACTAAGGTTAGGTGCTTCAGGTACTAGTTTACTAAGGTTAGGTGCTTCAGGGTACTAGTTTACTAAGGTTAGGTGCTTCAGGTACTAGTTTACTAAGGTTAGGTGCTTCAGGTACTAGTTTACTAAGGTTAGGTGCTTCAGGTACTAGTTTACTTGCTGTTAGGTGCTTCAGGTACTAGTACTAAGGTTAGGTGCTTCAGGTACTAGTTTACTAAGGTTGTGCTTCAGGTACTAGTTTACTAAGGTTAGGTGCTTCAGGTACTAGTTTGTTGGGTAGTTAAGTTAGGTGCTCAGGATAGTTTACTGGTTAGGTGCTTCAGGTACTAGTTTACTAAGGTTAGGTGCTTCAGGTACTAGTTATAAGGTTAGGTGCTTCAGGTACTAGTTTACTGTGTAGGTGCTTCGTACTAGTTTACTTAGGTTAGGTGCTTCAGGTACTAGTTTACTAAGGTTAGGTGCTTCAATGCACTTAGTTTACTGTTAGTGCTTAGTACTAGTTTACTGGTGTTAGGTGCTTCAGGTACTAGTTTACTAGGTTAGTGCTTCAGGTACTAGTTTACTAGGTTAGGTGCTTCGTACTAGTTTAATAAGTTAGGTGCTTCACGTACTAGGTTTACTGTTAGGTGCTCAGGTACTAGTTTACTAAGGTTAGGTGCTCAGGTACTAGTTTACTAAGGTTAGGTGCTTCAGGTACTAGTTACTAAGGTTAGGTGCTTCAGGTACTAGTTTACTAAGGTTAGGTGCTTCAGGACTAGTTTAATAAGGTTAGGTGCTTCAGGTACTAGTTTACTAAGGTTAGGTGCTTCAGGTACTAGTTTACTAAGGAGGTGCTTCAGGCAATTAGTTATCAAGGTTAGTGCTTGTGCTGTTTACTAAGGTTAGGTGCTTCAGGTACTAGTTTACTAAGGTTAGGTGCTTCAGGTACTAGTTTACTAAAGTTAGGTGCTTCAGGTACTAGTTTACTTGCTAAGGTAGGGTGCTTCAGGTACTAGTTTTACTAAGGTTAGGTGCTTCGAGTCTAGTTTACTAGTTAGGTGTCAGGTACTAGTTTACTAAGGTTAGTGCTTCAGGTACTAGTTTCATTGGTTAGGTGCTTAGGTAGTACAGTTTACTGTTTGGTGCTTCAGGCACTATTTACTAAGGTTAGGTGCTTCAGGTACTAGTTTACTAAGGTTAGGTGCTTCAGGTACTAGTTTACTAAGGTTAGGTGCTTCAGGTACTAGTTTCCTTAAGGTTAGGTGCTTCAGGTACTTAGTTTACTAAGGTTAGGTGCTTCAGGACTAGCTATTGGGTTAGTGCTTGGTACTAGTTTACTAAGGTTAGGTGCTTCAGGTACTAGTTTACTAAGGTTAGGTGCTTCAGGTACTAGTTTACTAAGGTTAGGTGCTTCAGGTACTAGTTTAATAAGGTTAGGTGCTTCAGGTACTAGTTTACTAAGGTTAGGTGCTTCAGTACTAGTTTACTAGGTTAGGTGCTTCAGGTACTAGTTTACTCAGGTTAGTGCTTCAGGTACTAGTTTACTAAGGTTAGGTGCTTCAGGTACTAGTTTACCTGGGTTAGGTGCTTCAGGTACTAGTTTACTAATTGGGTGCTTCAGGTACTAGTTTACTAGGTTAGGTGCTTCAGGTACTAGTTTACTAAGGTTAGGTGCTTCAGTACTAGTTTATAAGGTTAGGTGCTTCAGGTACTAGTTTACTAGGTTAGGTGCTTCAGGTACTAGTTTACTAAGGTTAGGTGCTTCAGGTACTAGTTTACTAAAGTTAGGTGCTTCAGGTACTAGTTTACTAAGGTTAGGTGCTTCAGGTACTAGTTTACTAAGGTTAGGTGCTTCAGGTACTAGTTTACTAAGGTTAGGTGCTTCAGGTACTAGTTTACTAAGGTTAGGTGCTTCAGGTACTAGTTTACTAAGGTTAGATGCTTCAGGTACTAGTTTAATAAGGTTAGGTGCTTCAGGTACTAGTTTACTAAGGTTAGGTGCTTCAGGTACTAGTTTACTAAGGTTAGGTGCTTCAGGTACTAGTTTACTAAGGTTAGGTGCTTCAGGTACTAGTTTACTAAGGTTAGATGCTTCAGGTACTAGTTTAATAAGGTTAGGTGCTTCAGGTACTAGTTTACTAAGGTTAGGTGCTTCAGGTACTAGTTTACTAAGGTTAGGTGCTTCAGGTACTAGTTTACTAAGGTTAGGTGCTTCAGGTACTAGTTTACTAAGGTTAGATGCTTCAGGTACTAGTTTAATAAGGTTAGGTGCTTCAGGTACTAGTTTACTAAGGTTAGGTGCTTCAGGTACTAGTTTACTAAGGTTAGGTGCTTCAGGTACTAGTTTACTAAGGTTAGGTGCTTCAGGTACTAGTTTACTAAGGTTAGGTGCTTCAGGTACTAGTTTAATAAGGTTAGGTGCTTCAGGTACTAGTTTACTAAGGTTGGGTGCTTCACGTACTAGTTTACTAAGGTTAGGTGCTTCAGGTACTAGTTTACTAGGTTAGAGTGCTTCAGGTACTAGTTTACTAAGGTTAGGTGCTTCACGTACTAGTTTACTAAGGTTAGGTGCTTCAGGTACCTAGTTTACTAGGTTAGGTGCTTCAGGTACTAGTTTACTAAGGTTAGGTACTTCAGGTACTAGTTTAATAAAGTTAGGTGCTTCACGTAGGTTTACTAAGGTTAGGTACTTCACGTACTAGTTTACCTAAGGTTAGGTGCTTCAGGTACTAGTTTACTAAGGTTAGGTGCTTCAGGTACTAGTTTACTAAGGTTAGGTGCTTCAGGTACTAGTTTACTAAGGTTAGGTGCTTCAGGTACTAGTTTACTAAGGTTAGGTGCTTCAGGTACTAGTTTACTAAGGTTAGGTGCTTCGGGTACTAGTTTACTAAGGTTAGGTGCTTCAGGTACTAGTTTACTAAGGTTAGGTGCTTCAGGTACTAGTTTACTAAGGTTAGGTGCTTCAGGTACTAGTTTAATAAAGTTAGGTGCTTCAGGTACTAGTTTACTAAGGTTAGGTGCTTCAGGTACTAGTTTACTAAGGTTAGGTGCTTCAGGTACTAGTTTACTAAGGTTAGGTGCTTCAGGTACTAGTTTACTAAGGTTAGGTGCTTCACGTACTAGGGTTATGAAATACTATTCACTAAGAGTTTGTCCACCGCCATGTAACCAAAACTTTTCCATTCAGTCTTTTATTTTACGAGTTACGTCCACACAAACTGCAGGTGTTTGTCTGTCTGTACGCTTATGTCAACACACACACACACACACACACATTCTTTACCTATCCTTTGGTGGTACATTTCAATAGTTATACATATATTATTGTGTTTTCCTACTTACCTGGGAGCCAATCTTCCAATCTACACAGGTGAGGAAGATTGACAAATAATGAACGGATTCCGATACTCCTTGTAATGCATTAATCTCGGCCTCAGGGGAGAACTTTGTGGTAGAGATTGTGTACAAGTTGAGGGGGATTTATACGAGAAAGCTTTGGTGTGTGTGTGTGTGTGTGTGTGTGTGTGTGTGTGTGTGTGTGTGTGTGTGTGTGTGTGTGTGTGTGTGTGTGTGTGTGTGTGTGTGTGTGTGTGTGTGTGTGTGTGTGTGTGTGTGTGTGTGTGTGTGTGTGTGTGTGTGTGTGTGTGTGTGTGTGTGTGTGTGTGTGTGTGTGTGTGTGTGTGTGTGTGTGTGTGTGTGTGTGTGTGTGTGTGTGTGTGTGTGTGTGTGTGTGTGTGTGTGTGTGTGTGTGTGTGTGTGTGTGTGTGTGTGTGTGTGTGTGTGTGTGTGTGTGTGTGTGTGTGTGTGTGTGTGTGTGTGTGTGTGTGTGTGTGTGTGTGTGTGTGTGTGTGTGTGTGTGTGTGTGTGTGTGTGTGTGTGTGTGTGTGTGTGTGTGTGTGTGTGTGTGTGTGTGTGTGTGTGTGTGTGTGTGTGTGTGTGTGTGTGTGTGTGTGTGTGTGTGTGTGTGTGTGTGTGTGTGTGTGTGTGTGTGTGTGTGTGTGTGTGTGTGTGTGTGTGTGTGTGTGTGTGTGTGTGTGTGTGTGTGTGTGTGTGTGTGTGTGTGTGTGTGTGTGTGTGTGTGTGTGTGTGTGTGTGTGTGTGTGTGTGTGTGTGTGTGTGTGTGTGTGTGTGTGTGTGTGTGTGTGTGTGTGTGTGTGTGTGTGTGTGTGTGTGTGTGTGTGTGTGTGTGTGTGTGTGTGTGTGTGTGTGTGTGTGTGTGTGTGTGTGTGTGTGTGTGTGTGTGTGTGTGTGTGTGTGTGTGTGTGTGTGTGTGTGTGTGTGTGTGTGTGTGTGTGTGTGTGTGTGTGTGTGTGTGTGTGTGTGTGTGTGTGTGTGTGTGTGTGTGTGTGTGTGTGTGTGTGTGTGTGTGTGTGTGTGTGTGTGTGTGTGTGTGTGTGGAGAGAGAGAGAGTTAGTTAGTTCTTGGTTGTTGTTCGGTCTGTTTCCTGTGGCTTTCCACACTTATCTTTCACCAACAATTCTCTCCCTCTTGTCTCTATCTCTCTTTATCTCCTCCCCGTCTTGGAGTTTCTGTTTCCCCTTGTTCCACCCTGCGTAAAATGTGCTGACTGGAGGATGGCTTAGATAGATAGATAGATAAATAGATAGATCGATA